GGCTTGCGGCTTGGAGAGACGCGAGCGAAGCTGGTAAGTGGGCCTGTGGCAGGATGCCTCTTGAGGAAGAAGCCGCTGGGCATGGGCGAAGGCCCTCAGGTGTTGACGTGGGCAGTGGATTGTGAAGGGGGCTTTTACTGAGAGAAAGAAGTGAGTTCTGGAGGACGGAGAGGTGATTCTGTTCTTCAGCCTCCTGTCGGAGGTCTGTATCCCCACAATGAGAGAATCGGTGTTGAATGAACGGAAGGCGATGTCACAAGAGACGAGACTCCTCAGAAGGGAGCGAAGTGTGCACGAGGGGCACCCTGCTGCCCCAGGCGTTGGGCTCGGAGGAAAAAGACACGGCACGGTTGAAGGAAGTTACTTCACTCCCTCAGCTCAGGTTCCCCATTTCTAAAGTGGGGGTTACAGTAGGGTGCGTTAGGAGTTACATAAGAGAACTCATGGGCTGTCTGCCTTGCTGGTCAGACGCAGCACTCACACATCGCTTTGTTACTTACTTAGTGAGTTGAAGTGCGCATGTGCCAGGCATTGGACTAGCACTTCAGGGTACACTGGGCAACAAAGATAGCACAGGGCTTGCCCTCATGGGAGAGGGATTGTTAAAGAAATTAAAAACCATACAACTCATATATAATTAATATGAGATGACGGTAGGCCTGGGGATGCGGCTCAGTGACAGAGTGGCTGACATATGAGGGACCCTGTGTTTTATCTCCAGCATTGCAAAACAAGAGACAAAAACATGACTCAAGGGCATGCAACCAGTTTGAGACTAGATACACAATTTTATTATAATAATGATAAATTTTCCAACAATGAGGAAATGGTTGGTTCTTCCACAAATGATTTTGAGATGATGGGAAAAATTAAAGTAGATCTGTAACTCGTACCTTACAGCATAATAATCAAAGATATAATATGAAAAATGAAGCCATAAAAGTGATAGAAATAAATGAGAGAATTCATTACTAATATAAGACTGAGGGAGACATTTCTAAGTATGCTCTAAAACCCAGAAGCTATAAAATTTTTCAGTTTGATTGTATGAACACAGAACTCTGTTTGGGGAGAAATGCTAAAGATAAAGTCAAAGAAGAACTCTTCAGGCAAAAGATCACCTTAACAGATTAAGAAGTCCTAGGGTGGCTGAAGTAGCTCCGCTGAGAGAGCATGAGACTGAAGAAGTCTGACAAATCAGCAAGGATAAAACCTACGGTTCATTAGAAGGATGGGAGGAAGGGCTTGAAGAAGCAGAAATGGAAATGCTCGTTCTTCATGTTCTGCTCTACTCACAGAGTGATACAAGCTGAAACGGCCAGCTGCTGTTTTTCACCCTTTAGGTCACAAGCAGAGGGGCTGAGTTTGTAGCACAGTGGTAAACTGCTTGTCTAGCATGCACCAGGTCATGAGTTCAATCCCTGATAACAAAATGTTACAAGCAAAACAGCATTGATAAGAATATGGCGAAGCACTGCTCCTCATATGTACGTAACGGGAATAGCTGTGGTTTGAAGGTTTCCATTCCCAAATCCAGGTGTTGCCCAAGGGATGGTATTAAAGGGGCAGGGCCTTGAAGAGGTGATTAGATCACGTGCCCTATGACACAGAATGGAGATGTGTCCTGTGCATGTACCAGCTACCCACAGTGAGCATATTCGTTAGTACTATAGACATGTACCAACAAAAAGAGCCTGCCTGAGAATCTGCCCCTCCTCTGCTCCTGCCTCCCATGAGGTGAGGGGACCTCCTGCTCCCCTCTGGAGGAGTGGGGTGGGGCAGCCCTGAGCAGACACCAACACCTGGATCTTTGGCTTCTCAACTTCCAGAACTGTGAAAAAGAATTTTCTGTTCTTTGCAAATTGCCTAGTGTCAGGCATTTTGTCTTAGTAGCACAAAATGGACTGAAACAGAAATTTTAAAGCCTCTGTGGAGAAAAATTCAGCAATTCTTAACTACAATAAAATCACAGATCCTTTGATGTGGCAGTTTTGCCTTTTTTGTGTGATGGTACTGGGGATTGAACCAGGACCTTCACAATGAGCTACATCTCCTATCTCCCCTTGTAAATTTTCAGACAAGGTCTCACTAAGTTGTTAAGTTGCCTGGGCTGGGTTCAACTTGCGATCCTCCTGTCTCAGCCTCCCAAGGTGTTGAGATTACAGAAATGCACCACCACATGAACTATAATTTTACTTTTATAGAAACAGTCTCAAAATTTATCAACAGGGAAGTAATTAAATCAGTTTACAGCATTGAGACAACAGAATATCATGCTGCTGATAAAAAGAAAAATTTAAGTCTCCGTGCATATTGATTTTTATTTCCAGTGTCTTGACACAGTCACTCTGAGTGGTTTCAAGGTTTTATTGATTGATTGATTGATTGATTGGTACTGGGGATCAAACTTACAACCTTGCACTTGCCAGGCAAGTGCTTGCGCTGCTGAGCTAAATCCTTGGCCCCAGTAGATTGTTTATAAATGAAGAAAGCAAGGTGGAAAATAAAATTTTGCTTCAAATAAATGAAAATGGGAGAGGGAATTGATACGTTGCATAGACTGCCTCTGGAAGCAAATAAGCAAGTGTCTCAGAAAGGGTGTCTGGGGTGGGCTGGCCTGCAGGCTGAATGCTGCCTTTCCTTTTGTCTCTTCTGAGTTTTATGCCTCATGCACACATTCTTAAAAATTAAACAACTTAGAGGCTGGGGATGTTGCTTAGTGGTAGAGCACCTGCCTAGCATGCACAGCCCCTGGATTCTGTCCCCAGCACCACAAAAGTAACTAACATAAATAAATAATAACATAAGTGTTTTCACTGTAAAAAGTTCACAAAACAAGAATATTTTAGTCGGGTATGCTGGCATTTGCATGTAATCCCAGCATTCAGGAGGCTGAGGCAGGAGGATTGCCATAGTTTAAGGCCAACCTGGGGTACACTGTGAATTCAAGGCCAGCCTGAATTATATAGTGAGACCCTGTCTTAAAATAACCAAAAATAATTTTGTCACTTTAAGTTTTAATATAAACACATGTAATGGTATGCTTGAGATCCTTTTCATTTAACAATGTATGTGCACATTTTCCTATGACTTTAAAGATATTTACAAACATTATGTTAATTCTTGAATGGCATTTCTGTTGGTACACATTAGTTATATCTGTATATAGTTTTCTGTTGCCCATTTAGGACATTTGACACGTCCATTTAAGAACTCATTTTACTGTCTTCAGCTTTTGCTGGTTTTAATACCACTGTGATGAACATCTTTGGACATTTATCTTCATCCACAACTTGGATTATTTCCTTAGAATAGCTCATTATAAGCTGACATGGTGACTCCGGGATATTAAAAAGTTGGAGTTTCTTGATACACATCAATAAGCCACTCCCCGGGGAGGTCCTGGCAGTTTATGTCTCAGGAACAGGATGTGAGAGTGACTATTTTTGGGCACAATTTTCAACTCTGATGATTTTCTTTTATTTCCTTATTTGCCGCTGACTGAAGCGCAGATAAGGAGTGAGGAGTATCTGTGGCAGGCCAGGGGAGGGGGGCTGTGTGCTGTGGGTTGGAACCACTGTGTGCTGAGGCGCAGGGCTGGGCAGCGGAGCTGAGCGATGCTCAGGGTCTCCAGGATTGGGCTTGAGCTCGCCCCGGGCTGCGGTGTGCCAGCAGGAGAGGCTTTCTCTCATGCAGCTTGTGAGGCCAGGCAGTACCAGGGCCACATGGGAGCTCAGGAGTCTGTTGGGGTGAGAGCCGGCCTTTGAGAGGAGCTGTGGCTCCCCCCGGTGGGGTCCGGACCTGGAAACCGCAGACCAAGCGGGCAGCACTCTGTGTGGGCGGAGGCCTTTCCTAGCACTCCGGAGAAGGAGAGGCCTCTTCATCCCCTCAGAGGGGAAGTGGGAGTTGAGGATGGGCCAACGGGAATTTCAGCCAGAGTATTTATGGGGTGCCTGCTCCTTGCCAAGCATTATTTGGAGAACCTGGGGTAGAGCAGCCTGTGTGTGGCAGCTCAGCTGTCAGGATTAAGCCTTTCAGTTTGATTTGGTAAAAATCCAGACACCCCTCTCCAAAAAAGAAAGAAAAGAATCCCTATTCTCGTGGCTGGTAGTCTGTGGAGGAAAAGAGCTGGATAAACAGGCTCTGTAACTGCCAGGGTCCGACCCAGCAGGTGTGATGTGGAGGGAAAGCCTGGGCCTGCAGCCAGAGGCGCCTGCTGAGACCTGGTGGCCATTACCTGAGCACCCGACGCATCCTCTTCTCTTATTAGCACTGTTGTTACAAGTTGGGCTTGCTGCTACTGTTAGCGTTATTTCAGCAGGCCATTCCCCTGGCCTGAAGCTGTGAGCAGTTTCTTCAGAGGAGTGAACCTGACCTGCAGAGGGAAGGGCCTCTGGGAGTTCTCAACCTCGGGAGCCGCTGCCTTAGCGGGGCAATGGCTCGGGCAGGCAACCAAGAAAGCCAGGCATTGGGCGCCATCTTCTGGACATAGGGAGAATTGCCTCCCTCCGAACTGGGGCCTCGCCTTGATTTGGGGGAACCTGAGGCCCAGAGAAGGGCAAGGTCTTTGCCCCATTTATGTCCAAGCCATGGTGCTAGGTTCTAAGTGCTTCAGTATTTGGTAGTGTGATGCAGCTGCCAGCTTGTAAGTTCTGTGGCTGGATGAGAGGGCGCCTGGGGAGGGAGGAGTGTTGGGGTGTGAGCCGAGGAGGCACCCTCGGGACTGTAGACGTGTGTGGGGGGGGAGACCCCGGCAGCCTCCTTCATTGCTACACCCGCCACACCTAGCCAGTGCCCGGCGTGTGATGTGGATACATGAGCCGTGTTTATCTGTAATCCTGGAATAAAGGCTGAATGTAGGTACTTGAAAATATTAACGGTGGCTGTCTGGGCGTAGAATTACAATACTTTCCATGCTTTCTGCTCTGTCTTCAGTGAAAAGGGGAGTAACGGTCATTTTGTCAGAAGACTGCCTCACCTCTGCCCTGCTGTCTCCACAGGCCTGAGAGCAATGCGACAGGCATGATGGAGGTCGAGTCCTCCTACTCGGACTTCATCTCCTGTGACCGGACAGGCCGTCGGAACGCGGTCCCTGACATCCAGGGCGACTCGGAGGCCGTGAGCGTGCGGAAGCTGGCCGGAGACATGGGCGAGCTGGCCCTCGAGGGGGCAGGTGAGAGCCAACGTGCTTCAGTGTCCTCGCATGCCAGAGCCCTCTGCCAGCTCCGGGCTGGTCTCCGAGTCCTAGAGGGCACACACTTCCTCAGAGAAGCAGCTGCGTGCAAATGGGGCCTGGCGCACAGTCAGTGGCAGAGTCCAGCCAAGCGCTCGGTGGAGGGTGCCAGCATCTCAGGCCCTGAGACTGGCTGGGCATCCAGGGCCCTTCCCTGCCCCACCTCCAGGCCACCCAGAATCCTCATCAGCTCTCTTCCAAGAGGTAGCCCAGCTTCAGCTGCTCCTCTCAGCTACTACGTGACCAGCCACTACCACCCTCCCCGGCTCTGTACAGCAGCCATCCTGGCCTGCCCTGCCAAAACATCCCCACTGGCATCACAGCAGAGCAAAGCCAGGCTCTTTGATGCCCGTGGCAGCCACGCCACGTGGGTCCTGCCCAACGCCACGCTGCACACACTGTGCCTTCGGTGTGTTTCTCAGCCTGGGCTCAGGTCTTCCCTGGCAGCGCCTTTTGCTTCACTTTTTCCTCTGCTTAGAACTGCCTCCGTCCAGAGCTGGGGCTGCTGTCCCCTCACCCTCAGGCCCAAGCGCAGCTAGCGGGCTCCCTGGAGATCCCCAGATGGCTCAAGCATCCTTCGCCAGGAAAGTGGCCCCAGCAAGGTCTCGTTCGTTTGACTGTGAGGTGCAGGAGGGCATGACCTCCTCTGCCACCCGCACATAGCAGGCACTTGTTAACTGTGGGCTGGACGAAGGCCCAGGGGACATTGCTGCTTCCTCCACTTCTCCCTCAGCCTCCAAGAGGGTCCTGCTCCATTCTGGCCCACTGGTCAGCCCTGGGCCTTCTTCTGGGAACTCTTTTCTAACCCTGCCTGGCTTCCCGCAGCACCACGGAGGCCACAACTGTCACACCACTTCCACGGTGCTTTGCAGCTTCAGGCTCTCTGTCCTCCTGGGGAGGCTTCGGAGAGCCATAGCTTTGTCTTTCTCTGTGTAGCCCGAGTCACAGAGTGACCTGTGACGGCAGAACAGAGTAGACCTTTGGGAGGGGCAGGGACCCAATCCTTTTGTGTTATAGATGGGCAGACTGAATTGGCTTGCTTTGGATTACCCAGAAAATGACCACAGTTAGCTATCTCTGACACTCACTGTCAGAACCCAACGCGGGCCTTCCTGTTCAAGGATCTGTCAGCCTTCCCTTGTGGTATGGCCCAAATTCCTTACCCAAGTATGGAGGCCTCCTTGGATCGCACCATTTCCCATCCAGCCTCCACACTGACTCCCTCCCTGGGTACCCTCTTCTCCAGCCGAACTAAAGTACCACAGGTTCTCAAGAGCTTTAATGGAATATAACACCCGCACCCCTCTCTGGTTTTTCCTTCCCAAATGCTCAGCTAGCATTTCCTGCTCTGCTGAGAGCCCCCTGACCTCAGCCTCCACAGGCAGAGAGAGGCTTCCCTACTCCCAGCCACCGCCATGGTCCTCTTAGCACAGATCCCCATATCCTGAGCCAGCTCAGCCTGTTTTGTGCCCTCAGCACCTGGCAGCAGGTGGCACATGACAGGGTTGCCTCCTTTCCAGCTGTTCACTGCCTGACTTTATGAGCAGTGTGCCCAGCCGCTCTGACTGGGCATGCTGCCAGGGGCTCTCCCAAGGCTTCTGTGTCCTTCCCCTCAGCTCTGGTAAACTTTTTCTGTCCCTCATTATGAAAGCTATTGTGGCTGCTTGTCCCTGTGCCCAAGCCTTTCTCTTCTGTTTGTTCCCTCTCACTCAGGATCTGTGATGTGTCCGGGTCCCCCAGGTGTCTGGAGGTGCCTGCAAGGTGGCTGACTTTAAGCAGACAGAGGGCAGAGCAGTGCTCTCTGCAGGGGCATGACGCACTTGTGGTGGGGGTCAGGCCGGAGTGCCTGGGCAGGGCTCAGTCCAGCAGACCCCCGTGGCAGAAGACAGGGCTCTGAGCACTACCCTAGGGTTTCTGGCCAGGGGAGCCTCTCTGCTTTCAGCTTCTGGGAGACTGATAGGCAGCGAGGCATGTAGGGGCCACAGGCCCGCCTGCTGGGCGGCCCGGCCATCTGGCCTCCCCACCTCTGTGAACGGCTCCTGTTTTCCCAGCACTCTGCACATGCGCTCTCTCTTCCTTGGTATTTCCTTATGTGGGGAGCACACATGCTGCCTTACTTTGCCTAATAATGAGAGAAACAGGCCAGGCAGGGAGGTGCAAGGGCTCATCCAGCTGGGGGGACCATTTTCTAATGGCGTTTTTTGTTTTTTTTTTTTTTTGTGGTCTTTTTATCGGTACCGGGGATCGAACTCATGACTGCCTGCTTGCAAGGCAGGTGCTTATGCCGCTGAGCTAAATCCCCAGCCCCCTGGGGGACCATTTTCTAACGCTGCACTACAGCTGGATTGCAGGTTCCCAAGGGTGCTGGTGGGCCAGGAAATGCCTGCAGACCTTCCCTCACCAGGGGAGAGCTGGGGCTGGCACAGAGGAAGCGTTGCATTGGCCAAATGTTCCCATGGGCCACCTAACTGCATTGGGGCCCTGTGCCCCCGCGGTCTGTGCAGGTGTCACCATCCTCCTTTATAGCCAGGAAGCAGAGCTCAGGGATTAAGTGAGTTGCCAGAGGTCTCATGGGAAGGAAGTAGCAGAGCAGAGTTTACTGGGGAATTTGGAGAATATTCCTGCTGGCTGGGGCAGGATGATTGGGCCAGACCAGCCATTCCAAGGTTGAAATTTTCCCCAAAGGATGGACTGCTTAGGCTTCTTCATAGGCTCGTAGTCAACAGTCTGACACCCACATACTTCCCACAGTGCTCTCCCGGCACCCGTGTGCTCAGACTGCTGGAAGGGCATGGTGAGGTAACGCCCATGCGGGCCTCTGGTGGCAAACCTTCGGCACCAGACCGCACAGCACAAGCGGGCTGTTGGTATCACTGAAAGCTCTAAAAGGTTCACCGTCACTGCCCCAGATGCTGCTGCTCACGGGAAGAGGGCAAATGTGGTGGAAGGAGGACTGGCTTCGGCACGAAGCAGGCTTTTCCCACCTCTTGGTCTCAGGCAGAGGAGCATGGCTTCCCTGATGCACCTCCAGGTTGCTATGCGAATTGTATAGAAAGCGCCCTCAGTCCACGACCCCATAGCTCCACACAGGGTGACCACACATGTCAGAAGGGCTTTGCCTCAGCCAGCTGAAGGAGGAGGCCAAGTGTGGTCTCGAAGAGCCGGAATTAGCATGCAGGCCCTAGATGAGCTGCTAGTGCACCTGGTGACACCACATAGTGTCACTAGCGTTTAAGAACTGCACCACTAAAGACTGGTTATCATTATGAGCACAGAAACAAATTCTGGCAAGCTGGCAAGAGTGCGGGGGAGAGGAGCCCTGCGACACTGTTGAGAATGTAAACTGTGCAGGACACACCCTGTGGGAATGAGTGTAGAAATTCTGGAAAACTAAGACTGGAAATTCCATTTGATGAGTCCCCTGTCAGCTGTTTTCCACACAGTCGGGGACGACGTCCCCAGCAGTAGCTGCACACCCTGTTTATGGCAGCACAACTCATATTGGCTAAGCTTGAAGCAGCCTCTGTGTCCATCTGCAGATGGATGAGTAAAGAAAATGTGGTGTTCGCAGGGAAATGCTGCTCAGCCATAAAGGGTAAATTCCAGTCATTTGTAGGAAGATGGGCGGCCCTCAGGCCACAATGCTAAGTGCAATCAGAAGCAAGAGCTTCCGGATTCTCTTACATGAGAAACCCAGTATATAAATAAAGAGCAAACATAGAGGAGATGACCAAGCAGGGAGGCGGAGCGTGGAGGTGGGAAGGGGATCTTGGGATGGAGCAAGATGGCGGGGGGGAAGTAAAAGCAATTTAGGTGCGGTATGTGATGTGCCCACTCCCCAGGATGAATGTAATTATTGTGTGTTGCAAACGTATACACCACCACCACACCCCAAAAACCCACAGACACACCACCGATGGGGCTGTGCCCACGCGCAGTCTCGGGGAAGATGCCTGGTCACCGTGCAGCCTGTGTGAAGGATGCTGGGACTGGAGCTGCCCCGCCAGCCACATGGGTGATGGCAGGGCCTTGCCTGTCCCCCCTTCCCCAGTGGGGCTCGAGAGAAGCTGGGAGTCAGGAGACCCAGCTCACCCTGCCCATCACCCCCAGCCCTGCCCAGGGTTCCTGCCACATGAGGTGGAGACTGCAGCAGTGTACCTGGGTAGGTTGTCCACATGCACACACATGCACACATGCACACACCCCACATGCCCTTGGCACCCACAGGCTCTGAGTCAGGTCCCACCTGGCACCACGCTGGTCCAGTTCCCTTTTCTTTCTTTCTTCCTTCCTTTCTTCTTTCTTTTTGGTCCCGGGGACTGAACTCACGACCGCACATTTGCAAGGCAGGCCCTTATGCCCCTGGATTAAATCCCCAGCCCCTCCAGTCCCCTTTCCTAAGAACAGCTCCCGTTCACTGAGCACCTGCTTCACGCTGGGAACTCATCTTGCCCCGTTCCTCTGAGGTGCTCCCGCAGGCATCCTCAGCACCCTAGCACCAGCCCACGTCCTGGCTTTTAGCTGACTTAATTGTACCAGTAACAACACTGTGTGCCTTCCTGTGGTACCAGGGAAGCTGTGGGGACCAAGCCAAAGCTCCCTTGGGCCATAGCACCCATTCCGTTTCCTGCTCTGTTCCTCAGCACCCAGCCACTGTCTCAGTTTGGCTGGCGCCTTTCATGCCTACTTGTCTGCTTTGCGTTAGTGTACAAGTAGAACTGTGCCCAGGAGTGGCAGTGCACAGCAAGAGCTGTCTCTAAAAAACCCCAACCTAGCAGCCAACCATAGTCTTTCTTTCCCTTCTAGAAGGACAGGCAGAGGCAAGCACCGTGAACAAGGAAGCCAGCAACCAGCCCGAGAGCGGCGGCGGGACCACCTCAGCTTGAGTCTGACTTTGTCCTGGTGGCCGGAAGAGAGACCTGTTGCCCTCTCCCAGGTGGAAAGCCAGGCACGGGCCCAGCAGCCTTTTTTCTGAGCCCATGTCCCAGGCCAGCGTGAGCGGCCTCTGGGGCCCTAACCTGGGAAGTCCTCTGCGCACACCCACAGGCTCCGCGTTCCCACTACCTTCGCTCCGTGCCCAGGTACACTCAAGACACTGTAAGCACAGGATGTTATTTATTCAGCTGGGCCCTGCCTAGCAGGCGAGCAGCCCACAGGGGACACTCCTCTTGTGAGCCACCTGCGCAGGGACGGTGTCTCAGCACTGTCCCTCCTCTCCATTCCCAGCCTTCCAGGTCAAGGCTTTCTTATCCCTTTTTTTAAAAAACACTTTTAAACTTTTTAAAAACATTAAACCTTTTTTCAGCAGAGAGGGAGGGAGCTGATAATCAATTCATTTTTCGGTTGTTTTTTTAGGAAAGCCATTTTAAGCTCAATTCTGACCATCTATGCAGCCCTGAGGTTCCCTCATGGAGCTTCACAGATCCAATTGTAGGCTCAAAACGAACAGAGCGATTCTTTGCCCTTTCTACCAAGAGAAGTGACTTAGGCCCCAGGAAATAAATGCTGATGATTTGTGTGACTGGTTTGAGATTATTTCTCCTTTAAATAATGAAAGCAGGACCACAGTCATTGCTCCCCAGGTCCACAGTCAGCCGGGCTCCAGCACTTGCTCAGCTCTCAGGAGCTGCTGAAAATAGGCTGTGGCCCCGAGGCCGCCACCACGTCAGCATCTGATGAGCCCTCTCCCGTCTCACTGTCACCCAGCCAGCTCTTTTGAGAACCTAGAGGGAAGGTGTTTGTCTGAAGGCCCAGAAGAGAGGAGTCAAGAGCACGGAGGCCACCTAAGAAGACAGCCTCTCTGGAGAGCCCCATCTCTCCTGGAGAGCCCCCTGGGAAGCTCCAGCCCTCCTTTCCCAGCCTGCACTGGGCTCTCAGCCCTGCTGTTGGATAGATGTGGCAGCTCTAGGGTCTCCTGCCATTCTCGCCTCGTGCAGGTCAACCAGCCTCGACCAAAGTACTGCATATCACAGACTACACAGTGCCAGCCGCTGGCTGCTTTATTGAGCACCAGATTTTCAGCATGAGTCACCTGAGAAGTGTTTCAGATTTATGGTCACCCTTGGCAAAGGCTCTGGTCCCTGAGCAGGGTACAAACACAATCAGAGGTGAGACGCGGCCATTCCGAGGTTTGTGCGTAGAATACACATCAGTAGCTGACTACTGAAATGTTAGTCTTGAGAAAGGAATGTAGGAAAATGTCGGTTGATCCCAAGAGTTGTGCAGGCTCCATCCATGGAGTAAAGGCTTAGAGGTGGCCGTGCCATCTTCATGGGTCCTGTCCTGCTGGTCAGGTCAGAGAAGCAGAAAGATCAGGCAACTCACAGTTAACACACACACACACTCACCCCCGCCACCAGGATGCTAAAAATCACAACTCCAGCACCAGAAAGGAACTCCTACAAACAGCGAATCTGAGGCTTAGAGCAAGGTAAGTCTTGCCAAGGCCACACAGGAAGGAAGGGACAGAAAAGGCCAGGACCGGATCCAACTCCCTGCCCTTGGCTTTGGGCAGACACAGGGATGCCCAGACAGTTGTGACTGGCCTTCAGAAAGTCTTGCCTTCAGCCAGCCTCTCTAGGGAGCAACTACACAGAAAATGAGCGAAGCTGAGGAGGGGCTGCCACAGCCAGGCCTGCAGCCAGGCAGTCATGGCGTGTCCTTGGTGCTGCCCAGGAGGAAGGGCTCTTGCTAGAAGTCACACAGGAAGCCCAGCAGGTGAAGGGGCCAGGGAGACCTCTGGAGCCCGGACAAAAACCTACCGGCAGTGGCTGGTGGCGGTGTCATATCATAGGCTTTATAGAGCTGGTTGAGGAGCTCCTCCTTTTCATCCTCTGGGAGGAAGCTGGACTTTGCAGCATTGATGTTCTAGAAGGGTCAGGGTAGCAGATGACATGGAACCAAACCACAAGGACCAGAGCCCTTGGCATCTAGTGATAGTTCATCCTCCTCTTTACAGGGTACGGACAGTAAAACTCAGACTTCACAAGAGGTGAGATCTGGTAGGCAGAGACCTCTGCAGGAGCTGACTCAGGGCATAACCCAGATCAAATGCATAGCCTGGGATCTAGGGGTGGCCTGAAGGGTGCAGATTTTCACAGTGAGGCACACCTTTCTGGGAAGCAGGATCCTGCTAGTGTGTGCGATCTAAGCAAAAGCTAAACCACGTGGCTCTCAGGACATCAGCACTAAGGCATCCTCAGGTCTGACACCATGCTTGGCTAGACTCCCTCCAGGTCTCCTGGGGCTCCAGGGCCTGGCCGAGGCCTGCAAGCCTCATACCCCTGTGGCCAGGAGTCCAGGCAACGCCACTCACCAGTCTTTTAAACTCCTCCTCGGTAAAACCCATGTCCCGTTTGGTCATCTGGTAGTCAGTGTCCAGGGTGGACTTGAAGATAAGCGGGTCATCTGAGTTGAGTGAGTAGTTAGCTCTGTCGTTCTTGAACCTGGTGGGGGCGGTGGGGAGAGAAGAGCCTCCTTTACTCAGTGACCAACACTGCCCACTGACGCCTACCTGCTTTGATCCTCATGAACCTACCAGGCTTGGTCCAAATCACCCGATCAGTGACACAAGACTCAAGCCCGTCCTGCCAGCCCAGAGCCAAGCATGGACAAAGGAGGGGCCTGGCACAAGAGCCGGGGAGAACGAGGTTCTGGGAGGCTGGGAGAGCAACACCCCCTCGGCCACCATCCTCTCTAGCCACCGCCCTGACGGCACCACTCTCAAGCTGTCATCCCTCAGTCCCACTCCATCAGGCTTTCCCCACCAAGTTCCCCATGGACTTGGTGACCATCCTCTTTGTGTAGAATTTGACACTGTTAACCATCCTTGAAGCTTTTTCCCTCGATTTCTGACACCATACTTTTAGCTTTCCATGTATGCGTCTCTTCTTCCTGACCCTTAAATGTCACTGTCATTTTGGGTTCTATGCTAAGCTCTCATGCTCAACCGTCTTGTAGGACCTTCCCTTCTTCATACATCATAGCTGTGCAGATGATACCTAAAACTTGCTCCAGCCCACGGGCTGTGCACCCACTTCTCCCCAGAGCCTGCACGGGATTGCCACCGGCACCATGCATGCCATGTTCCTAAGGTCAGCGTGAGACCCTCCCTGCACATAGCTTGCCAGGCCAACCCACACTGGTTTGACAGTGGTCACCACCACCCCAGGTCCTTGCTGTCCTTACTCTGCTTCGGGGGAATACACCTCTGCCCTCCCAAGGCCTGATAGCTTGTCCCTGGACTTGATCAGAGGACAGAAGGAGGGTCTTGGCCCTGGCTAGGCTGTGGGATGGGAGCAGGTGTGGGAGAGACCCTCCAAGGGGAAGCTTTAAGATGGCACTCGGAGGAGAGAGCATGCAGGCACATGACAGTCATCTTTCAGAGGCCCAGGAGGCAGAGTTGGGAAAGTCAGGAGTGGGGACATTTCCCTTGGGACAGTGGGACATTCTGCCTGGCTGAATGAGATATGGGCCCCTAGATCTGCTGGTTAGTAGGTGGGGTGTGCGGATCAAGTTACATCTGAGCTGTGGTCGCATTTGTGGGATAAGGACAGCAACGCCTGCTGGCCAGGTAGATTTCATAACTGATAAACCCAGCCCGGGCCAGTGCTGGGGATCCAGCATCCCTGTATCCTTCCCCATACTTGGCTTCCCAGGAAAGGAACTCAATGGGCCCCAGAACTCACCGAACGACCGGGTGCTCCGTTTCTGGCTTCCAGGCACCTGTGAGGTAGCTGGACCAGGGACAGACCTGCAAGAGCAGGTGTGTGGCTGGCAAGGCCTCCACTCCCCAAGCCCTGCGGTGGCCGGGCTACCTGCTACAGTGCCAGTCTTGTCTCCACTCAGTCCCTTGAGCCCTCCACCCCTAGCACTTGAACACTGACTGGCCATTCCCGCAGGGGTTTCCTGCTCCTCCTGCTCTGGGCATCTGCGGGGGGTGGGGACAGACAACCAGGGACAGTTCTCCAGTCCCCTGTGCCTCACCTCAAAGTGCATGTTTTCCTTCCTCAGCCTGTCATAAAGGGCCTGGTCCTCTATGGTGTGGTAGCCGTGTCCTATCCTCTCCGTCTTGAGTATGTCCACCGCCTGTGGAAAAGCAGAAGGGAGAGAGTTTGGGAAGCAGGACCCAAAGAAGCAGGGTATGCAGGCTCTCGGCTGGCAGCTCCTCACCTCTCGCACGACCTCTGCGGAGCACACCTCCCCAGCGTGCACCGTGCGGTGAATGCCGCTCTGCAGCGCCTCCTAGGAGGGAAGAGCCAGGTCAGGGCGGGCCGGGGAGGAGCGCTGGCAGCCCCTGCCTTTGCCACACTGGGGTCTGAGCTTTGGCAGGCTCAGGCTGTCCCAGTGTCAGCCAGGCTGCCTTCAAGTACTGAGATTATGGGTCTGCATTGCTGTACCTCAAATTCAGGGGCTTTTCTTTATCCCCAGTTCAGAGCCCCCACACTTGACCTGACATACTTGGGAACTGAAGGGGCCCTGTGATCCCATCTGGGATAGTTCCCCCCAAGCCCATCAAGGGCTGGTCCGCGCTCCCACAGGCCCACCTTGTAGGCCTCCAGGTGCCCCGGGAAGTAGCTGCTTCCTTCAATCGTCTCGTCGCCAGCTATGTCGATGGCCACCACCGTCTGGTTCCGGTACTTCTTACACAGCTCCACCACCTCCGGGGACCATTCTGTGGTGAGATGCCCACCAGGGCCCTATCAGCAGCACCATGCAGCAGGGCCTCCCAGTCCCCCGATCACTGTCACGTGTCCCCCCAGTGCAAGAAGTCCAGGGTCTGGTCTTCAGACCCTAACTGCCAAGTCCGAGCCACATGGCTTTTGGCCAACTGCTCTGCCCACAGCTTCAGACTATGCCCTTACCAGAGGGGATGCCACCACTTCTGCAGCTCAGGGTCAAGACAAGGCCTTTCCAAGGCCGTGTATGTGTGGCACAAAGGGCTAGGCCGGGCCCAATAAGTGATGCATAGGATGTTTCTTCACTCAATGCATATGACAGCACCCAAGGTAGCTTCCCCCAACTTAGAACAAGGAAATGAACGTAACTAAAACTCAGGCTAGGATTGCTAAGGGTATTACTAACATATTGTGTACTCTTAACCCATAAAGTTACAACCTATTTACATAGAATGAATGAGCTCAGGGTTTAAAATGAAATGTCCCCAGATTTACACCAGAGCTTTGTGTTTCCCTGACAGAGGAACAAGAAGCGTCACTTTTTCTGACTCAGTTTCCCCACCTGTCAAATGTAATTCAGCAGTGCAAGTCCCACCTCATAGGCTGCAGTGGGATTAGAGAATGCACACAAGCCACCGCCCCAAACGGGCATGTAGGTTGGCATCAGCTTCTGGCTTGGTCTCCCTGATCCTTAGGGGAGCAGGAGGAGGTGATTCCCCTGTGACCTTCTCAGAGAGGTGGCATGACTTGCCCAGTGTCACACAGTGGGGTCTGCCCCAAGAAGCTCAAGCCCTCGGATCTGATCAGTGTTAGTGACAAGGGAAATGCCTCTCGAACCCCAGACCCAAGGCTGGGCTCTGCAGGCCAGCAGGGAGGCTGGCTTAGGTCGTTTTTTGATTGCTCAGGCTCCTCTGATTTTATGCTTCCTCATGGCCATGTGGCTGTCAAGTGTCACCAGGAAGATGAGGGCCTTTCCGAGAGGCCTCTAGTGTTTCCAGGAAGCCCCAGGATCCTGCTGATGTGTGCAGGGGACACCATGGGCCGGTCAGGCACAGCCCACGGCCAGCCCACCAGACTGAGGCCAGAAGCAGTTGGGTAGCTGATGCCCACACTCACCTGGCTGGTGGCGCATGCAGCACAGGATGGACCGGACCTTGATGCCGAAGGTTTTCTCACCCTCCTGCAGGCCCTGATTCACTAAGTTCACCACTTCATCAGGGGTGAGGTCTCCTCTGTGTAGGGACAGGAGAAGGTTGGGACTGAGCAAAGGGAGGACCGAGCTGCCCCTATTCACTCAGTTCTTCTGGGGAGAGAGAGAGATGACCCAAGGCTCAGCATCTGGTTCTAGATGCCGGTGTGTGGGTGTGTCAGAGCCATTCTCCCCCTGCCCACGACTGAGCTCAGGCGCCGTGTGGCTCCCGCTCCCAGGTGGATCAGAATCTGGCCCTGAAGTGAGTCGAGGGGGCTTGGTGTTATTACTTCCAGATCTGTGGGGCCCCATCAAGGGGAGCAGAAATGGGCCAGATTCACTCTAGCTGTGGAGTTGAACAGGACCCTTAGAAGTCGCTGCCTAAGTGGTTCATGTTCCCTGGCAGCAGGATTGTATCCAGAACTCCGGGCTACAAAGCACAGCCACGAGCTTTTGCCCAGAGTAAAAACAACCAATTCAGTTGCGGAGGCATCACTCTTATGGCCAAGTTAATCCCATCTTTCTGAGGCCAGGGACCTGATGGGGCCTTGGACCAGCATCTCTGGTCTCAGGGTTGCGCCACCCAGCCACGCCCTCAGCACAGCCCTCTCCAGGGGTGTCACTCACTCGGCCTGGTTCCAGGGGATCGGCTGCACTTTGGAGTTGGCCAGCAGGTGCGGGCTGTAACGAACCTCCGCATACACCACGCCCTCCTTGGCCTTCATCTCCACGAACTCATAAGCGATCCTTTTGATGGCATCCCTGCTGCCCCTGGAGAGGGAAAAAAGGGGTTGGGGACAACTTCCTCTAAGGCCCTTGGGAGCTCTGGGAGCAAACCTTCCTCAACCCTTCATATATCAGACCCACTTCTGAATGGCAGGGAAAGAAAGAAATGGATACAGATAGATAAATTTGATGGTACTAGGCTGAAGGAACCTAGGACTCATTCAGGGACTACCTGCTGTGTGACCTTGGGTGAGTCAGTCACCCTCTCTGACACCCACCTCGAAGAGTGATCATGAGGACAAACAGCCAGTGTCTGGAGCACAGCAGACAAAAGCTGAAAGTATTTTCATTGTTACTGCCGAGGATTGGTCCCAGAAGCAAAGCACAAATTGACCTGCCAGATGCTAGCAGGTTCTGCCTAGTCAGAAGTTTCCACCACAAATAGCGGAAACAGAATGCAGAGTGGAACGTGAGGGAAGGCAGGCAAGTGTTCCACGAGCCCCGGGTGCAAGGACCTGCCCAGCCTTGGGGATTTGGCCATCCCAGAAGGGCTGTCCCTGGGAGGAAATGCCTGGGTCTCCAGGACCAGGGTGGAAGATGCTGCCTTCCTAAGGGTGGGCGCAGCCCTGGAGCCTGGGCTCAGCGCCGTCCCAGGGAGGACAGTGCTCCTTCATCCCCCTCACAGCTGGCTGCCCTGGTCTCCCCTCAGCTCCTACTGTTCCCCAAGGGGGTGCTGAGCCCTACACTGCGGCCACACATGCTGGGCATGGAGGGCACAGCAGGCAGGATCCTGCCCTTCAAAGAGCCCACCTCCTAGCAAGAGAGATGGGTGAGCAAGGACAGGAGAGGGACAGTAGGCCAGGTGTGACAAGTTCTACAGACAAGGCAGGCGGGCAGCTGCAACGTTCAACAGCACAGTCAGAGAAAGCTTTGCCCCAGAGAAGGGACGCTGTTCAGAGCAGAGAAGGAGGTGTTACTTCTACAGGAACAGCATTCCAGGCAGAGGGGTATGCTGGTGTCCCGGGACAAGCAAGCACTGGACAGAAGAACATGTGAGGACAAGGTCAGGAGATGAGGGCCCAGAGTGACCTGCACATATGACATCAGGCCATCAGGGCCCCTGAGTTTTCCCTGAGAGACCCTGAGAGACACTGGAGAGTTTGGGGCAGTCACTGAGACTTCCCTTGGTAACCCCCATGCCAACTTTCGGGCCTTCCCAGTACCCATCAGTGTTCCCCACTCCCTGATTGAAGACGGACAAAATCACCTTGATCCTATTCCCTCTCCCCAGCCCCGGAATTCAGCCTCCCCTGTCCTCACAATATGGAGCCCTGAACTTGGGGGCAGGAGACGCAGGTGCATGCTCTCTCTGCCTTTGAATCTATGTCTTCTCTGGACCTCACTTAACCAAGGGGTCATACTCTCAGAGTCCCAAAAAAACATGCAGCTTCTCCAGCGGCCTCTGAAAATCCCTAGGCTGGGACCCATGCCTGGTCTCAGTCACAGCGATCACCGCTGTCCCAGGAGCTGAGGGTCGGGAGCAACTCACACAATAGCAGGCATGTAGTACTCAAACTTGGACAGGAAGTATGGGAGGGAATGTGGCTCGTCCATGCCGATGATCTTCTGCAGCTCCTCCACCGTGTCGGCTGGAAGGGCGATCCCTCTTTCCCTGAAACAGAACCGTGAGGGTAGAGGAGCAGCTCAGGGAGGACCCAGACAGCCTGATAGGGTGGGATGAACAGAGCCAAGCCCCAGCAAGAAACATGGGATCCTTCCATCCAACTCCTCCCCTTGGACAGATGGGAACACTGAGGTCCAGGGCTGTGTAGCCAGGATGCAATCCTTCCAGGACCTGCTGGCCCTAAGCCACGACAAGTCAGCAGATCTCAAGGGCAGCAAAGGGGACCATCAGGGGTTGAAGTGAATGCGTGCATGTGGTGCTGATGTCTGGAGACTGAGCAAGTGTGAGAGCGAGTCCATCACTTCCTCCTCAGCCGGGGAGTGTACAGAGCCAGCTGGTCTTGTGCCCAGTCAGGGGTTATCGGGGCATTAACTGTAGCATAACAATTCCTGCAGCACGGGCTGGCGCCAGGACATCCCCCTCCGCCCTCCTTCTGTCTCACCAAAGCAGCCCCCAGCCTAGCATGCTGGGAAAAGGTGGGGCGGCAGCTCTGGATTAGGCCTGGCAAGCGGGCCACCCAGCTCGGAGCTCTGTCTCTTCCCTGTCCCAAGCGCCCCTGACACAGGCTGGACACACTAACAGGCAGCAAGGCCTGCTGTGACGCCCGCTGGCTTGGAGCTTTCCTCTCCTCACTGGCTCCTCCGCTGCCCTCTGGGCCACAGGAAGCAGGGTGCAACTCCATGGTTTCCGCTTCTGCACATGTCCCTGTCTCCTCCTCCCGTCCTGGCCAGGCTGGGGTTCACAGGGAGGGCGTCTTCCTGGGCCTCGGTTTCTCTACTTTTAAGATAAAAAGGACGAGCAAAAAAAAATGCTTCCTGATAGGGGGCACAAAATTAGAGACAAAAGGCACTTGGAGAAAACAATGCAGAGAGGAGACTGAAACCTAAAGTGAATCTCCTCAAGGAGACAGGAAGACATTGCATCCTTTAAATAAGATTCGGGGTGGGAGGGTTGTGGCTCAGGGGGTGAGCACTCAGCTAACTTGTGTGTGGGGAAAAAAGTCCTAGTTAGCACAACAGAAGAAAAAAAATCAATGAAGTTTTCCTACATAAATATCTGTTCCTAAATCACTAAATATGCCCTCTTCCTTATCTGGCAGCCCAGACTTTATGTGGTCACTTGGACCCATCAGTCTGCCAGACGACCAGCTGTGGCGCCTTCTCAGGCCTGCATCCCTGTAAGACCCCAATGGCAGATATGGTACCTCTGCTGCACCTTGGAACACAAAGGGCAGAGAGATGCATAGTGCTTGCTACTGCCCCTGCTAAGCCTCCAACTGCTGGCCAACCTGACCTAGTCTCCCTCCGAAGGCAGCGCCTCGGCTCCAAAGGGAAATGAGCTGCCAGACTGTATCTGAAAACAACAGCCCTGCTTCTAGCCTGGCACCTGCAGAAGGGGAGGTCTGAGAGGACGCCTGGACACAGACTGCAGACACGCAGGAGGCTACTGCCAGGATCACAGCAGGGCAGTGACCAGAGGAGGGGGTGGCCAGAGGAGTGAGGCATGATGGAGACTAAGAAAGAGGTAAGAGAGGAACCTGGAAAGGGCAGAGAAGCAAGAAGCCACTCCCAGAGAGAACAAAGGCCCCTGGATCGGCCTGGGAGCCACAGGCCAGGCTCCCTCACCCCTGCCAACCTGGCTGGCTGGCTGGCGTCTTTGGGGGCACCCATATCTGAGTGGGCTGTCTGGTGACCCCAGAGCAAACTCCAGCCTGCACCTGCCACATCTGGTGTTCCCGGCCCACTGAGGTGGCTGAGAAAGGGAAAATCAGGCCAGCTGGCCCAGGCTGGCAGCTCCCTCCCTTCTCCACTGCCCCACCCTGGGCATGGTTCCCACTGATGAGTGCTCTTTGATCCATTAACACCCAAGATTAGATCCCATCTCAGGACTACTTCCTAATGACCTCAAAGGGGCCCTGTTGGCCCTACTGGCTCCAAATGGGCAAAGCACAGGCAGAGATAAGGCCACGAGGTGCTACTTAATAATATTATTAGGTGATGATTATGGTGCACCCAGTGCAAGCTAGGCCTGAGCTGCACATTACTTCATGAAACCTCTGACTTCGAGGTGATGGCTGCGGGCACAGACTCAGGCCACACCTCTTCCCTGTGCCAACCAGGCAAGTGAAGTGACTCCACTGTCATGGCTCCATTTGCTCATCCATCAAGTGGCCTGGCCCCCGCAAGCTGGCCTGAGGACTCACCGAGTTAACCCAGGTGAAGCCCAGAGAGAGTGGCTGGTGTGACCATAGACAATGACGATGTGCTTGTGTTACACAGCCAAACAGGTACACACCCCTGGCAGCTGCCAAAAGGCAGGAAAAAGTTGCCCAAGCGTGGTGAGGAGAAGGAAAGAGTACTTCCTACATCTCCCTCAGAGTCGGGAGAGATGCTCCCGGGCTGGGGACAAACACCCCAGGCTCACTAGTCCTCTCCCGAGGAGCAGGAGTTCAGCAGGGATTCAGATCATAGAAAAGAATGTTGAAATTGGAGAGCCAAGTCCTTCCAGCTCCAGAGGTGGGAGGCAGGAGGGAGGCTGGACAGCCCAGCTCCCCAGCAGGGGGGCCCCAGGCTTGCCCTCCACCCACAGAGGTTGGGGTCCTTCAAGCCAGGGCCTGCCTTGATTTCAACAGGGCCACAGGAGGGAAGTGGGGACCCCGAGATTCTCCAGGGGCCTCTGAGGAGCTGCTTGCTCCACCCAACCCTGGGGAGATGGCTTCTCACCTGCCGAAGTACAAGATGGTTTCGGGCTTGATGGCTCCATCCAGGTGAACATGCAGCTCCACCTGTGGGGGCCAGAGAGGAGAGACAGATGCCCACGGTGTCTGAGGGCCTTGAGGGATTAATATTAACAGTAGCCGTGAGGACCACTGGCTGCCGTCTCCTGCGGACAGGTACCACACACACTTCTCCAACCTCCCTGCTCTGACTTGTTTAATCCTCACCAGGGGGACAGGTTTGGCTGTCACCTCCACCCATCTCTTTCACAGTCGAGGACATGGCAGTTCAGCAGAGTTAAGTATCTTATCCAAAACCACACAGTATCCAAGTAATGGAAGCAAGAACCCAACCCCATGCCTTTGTTCTTAACCACAGCTCAGGAGTGGCAGCCAAAGCCCCATGGGAGACCCTGAGCCCAAGCCCCAGGCAAGCAAGCTGAACAGACAAGAGTGACCACAGTCCTCCTGAGCTGGAAAGCATTTGCAGCACATTTCAAAACTCAGGCTCCAGGTTGGAGGTATAGAACATGTACTTAGCAGGTGCAAGGCTCTGGGTTCCATCCCTAGCAGCACAGTCAATCAATCAACTGATCTCAGGCTCATTCTCAAAAGGAGATGCTGCAGAGTCCATATTTGGTGATACAAAGTCTTCCAGTACCCTAGAAAGGGAACTTGATACTCGGCTAGCTTGATCATCCTCTCCTCTTTGCCCGTACCTTGAATACAAAGCCAAGACTATACGCAGTAATTCTGGGGACAGCCCCTCTGGCTTGAGTCCCAACTCTGGCTATGTGATCTCAGACAAGATGCTTGACCACTTTGCCTCTCAGTTTCCTTAACAATGAGATCCTACACGTCCTTATCCAAGAACAGTGATTAAGGACATAAAAAGATGGGGTAGGTACACAGATGCGGCCTAAGGGAAATGGCCCTGCCTCTTGGCCACAATATTTACCATGAATTTGAAGAAAGGCACAGTAGGAGACTAAGGGATTTTGTCATTCCAGGTTATACAAGGAATTTTCTGGGTCTCCCTGGCCCAGGAAAAATTGGCTGGGGAGACCCAGAAAATTCCTATTATCTCTATGAGAGGGAGACCATCTCTGGAACTCAGAGACCCAGATGAAGAAGCTGCCTGCCTGGCAGAAGACAGGAAATGGCCTGGCTCCATGGGGCTGGCGAGGAGGAGATGTCAAGGCCTTCTGTGGGCAGCACCTCAGAGTCATCAAATGTCCCCTACAGTCTTCCAGAGGATGAGGCACAGAGCAGTCCTTGTTCCTGGGCTGAGGGTCAATCAAGTTAATGGTTGGGCTCCTTCACAAGATGAATTCAATTCCCACTTGGCCAAAGATTTATTGGATTCTCAAAATATCTCATCATTAGAACACCGAAGCTTGCAGCCTAGGGAACTGCTAACCAGCTGTGTGATCCAGAGCAAGTGACCTCATCTCCCTGAACCTCCTTTTTCCAACCCTTAATCCACCATGGGCAGGAGGAGGATCCAGCAAGAAGCAGGGTCCTACCATGGTTAGAGCATCATGGAGTCCAAACTGGTGTCTTGGCTCCTTCACTCACTCAGTATGACCTGGAGAAAGTCTCTTGACTTCCTGTTCCTCAGTTTTCTCATCTGTCAAATGGGGGAATAGCACACCTCCTAGGACTCTGAGGGTCAATGACATTAATGGCCATGGAGCCCTGCACATATAGCAAAATAGGTGCCGACTATGAGTCTTTCATTTGACAAACAATTATGGAACCCCTTCTAGGGACACAGAGGTAACCAAAAGGGACAAAATCTCATTCCTGTAGCACACATAGTCCATCAAGGAGCAAATGTCATATCAATAAATGTATGAAGCAGGTATAGTGGCACAATCCTATAATCTCAGTATTGAGGAGGGTGAGGCAGGAGGATTGCAAGTTTGAGCTCAGCCTAGACAACTTAACTCCTCGTCTCAAGAATTAAAAAAAAAAATTGGGGCTGTGTATTTAGCTCAGCGGCATAAGCGCCTGCCTTGCAAGCAGGCAGTCATGAGTTCGATCCCTGGTACCGATAAAAAGGAAAAAGACAAAAAAAAAGAATTAAAAAAAATTAAAAAGGACTGGGGATGCAGTGCAGAGTGAAGGTCATAGGTTCAATCCCCAGTACCACCAAAAAAAAAAAAAAAAAAAGAAAGAAAAAAAAGACATTTCTGGTTAGATTCACGTAGCGGTGATTCCCACAGCCTGAGACAGAGAGCATTGGAAGAGGACCACGTCCTAAAGGGTGACAGAAGACAGGGATGTAGGAGACAGGCACTGCTGACTTGAATTTAGCTATGTAAAAGGGATGGTGCCAGAGCAATGCCAGCATTTAGAGCTGTCTTTAGACCCAGGCAGGGCCATAAATGGAGCACTATGCTCGGGCCATAGGTGTAGCACTATGACCTGAAGCTGCATCCCTGAACAAATCACTGAGGAAGAGCACGTCAAGGAAGCGAGGCAAAGCCCAGGACCAGCCTCGGCCTGCACTGTGGCTGGGGGCTGAGCAGGGGAGGCTGAGCCTGCAGGAACACAGCCGGGGGTTGTGAGGGACAGAGTGTCCATGCAGAGACGGGTCCATCAGATGTCAGGCAGGAGTGGTGCCCCACTATGTCAGCAGAGTGGGCTCCATAATGGCCCATAACCTGTCTACAGCTCAAATCCCAGAACCTGTAAGTATGAATTTACAGGGCGAAAAATGGGATCATTGAAAATCTTGAAGAGTTTGTCCTGGGTTATCTGGATGGAACCTGAATGAAACCTAGCATCCTCATAACAGAGGCAGAGTTTTGAGATTACACACACACACACACACACTCCCCAGGAAGCAGCAACATGACCACAGAGGCAGAGACAGGAGCGATGTAGCCATAGGCCAAGAATGCCTCGTGCCACTGGAGGTTGGGACAGCAACATGCAGATGATCCCTGAGCCTTCAGAAGGAGCATGGCCCTGCCAGCACCATGCCTTTGGACTTCTGGTCTCCATATCCGTGATGTGACCATATTTCGGAGTTGAAAGCCACCCACTGCATGGTAATTTGTTACAGCAGCCCCAGGGATTTCATACAGCCAGACCCTGCCAGATCAAGGATAGGAGGGCAGAAAGATGCCTCTTGGTCTAGGTACACAGGCCCTTGGGACCCTGCAGTGGTTCTTGACCCTGGCTGCCCATCTGGGGCACCAAGACAATGCTGGGAAGTCACCAATGCCTGGCCTCACTCCGGACTAGTTACCTCACAGTCACTGGAGTGGCCCAGGTAACGCTGTGTGAGTGTATTTGTGGTGAGGGGATTGATCCCGGTGCCCTGTGTGTTCCAGCCTAGTGTCTACAATTGAGCTACAGCCACAGTCCTAGTTTTGGTTTTGGTTTGGTTTGTTTCAAATTCATTTTTTTGTTTTTTAAAACATGCACTGAAAGTTGAAAACCAACGCCCTGGAGAATCTTTTTTTGCAGTGTGTACACAGGTAGAAACCATCCAGGAGGAAGGTAAAAGTGGGTATTTAAAAATGCAGACAACTTTAACTTATCCCTGAATGGGGGGCCAACTGTGGGAGGGGGCAGCAAACAATGTGGGTGAAGAGATGTTTAAGGTGGGAGTGGCTTGGCCCCGTTACACACTGGTGGAAGCCGAGTGCAGTGGTGCACACCTGTGATCCCGGCACATGGAGAGCTGAGACCAGGCAAGGTAACAAGGCCCCATCTTAAAAAGTCTAAAAGGACTGAGGATGTAGCTTGGTGGCAGAGCACCCATGGGTTTGATCCCTAGTACCAAGGAAAAACAAACAAACAAAAATATAATTGGTACAGCTAGGCATGGTGACACTTTGGAGGCTGAACCAGGAGGACTACAAGTTAGAGAAATTTAGCAAGCCCCGTCTCAGTTGGGTGTTATGGTTTGTGTCTAGGTGGATCCCCCAAGCCTCATGGAATCATGGAAGTGGATCTGGTGTTTGTGACTGGTCCATTGTCTAGCACAGGGGTGTGAATGCTGCACCCGCCCAGGGGCGGAGCCAACATACAGGGTAAGGAAGGAAAGGAGGTGTGCTTTTCCTCTTTTGCCCCATTTGCTCTTGCTGTTTGTGGCCACCATGGAGCCCTGTGCCACGTCACCATGCCTTGGAGCCAGCTGAGTATGAACGGGAACCTCCAAAACTGTAAGAAATAAATCTTTCCTTCCTTCCTGTTGGATGTCAGTTATTTTGTCTCGACAGTGAGAGAAAAGTAACCAAGACGCTGGGGGAGAATGTAGAATGCAAAACTTAGCCCAGCCTCAGAGCCAAAGAAGCCAGGAGCTGGGAAGCTGGCTGTTTGCCCAACAGTCTGCGAGGCTCCTTCTGCGGAACGCACTGAAATGCCACTGCAACACACCCTCGGGTTCTCTGCTCTGGCCAACAGCTAGCAATGCTCAGGGGGGGGATCCTCCCCGCCCTGCCTGCTGGGTCCTGAGTGACCACCAGAGCAGAACCCTCACTGGACACCTGTGAGGGACAAAGCGGTGAGCAAGAACAGGTTCCTTCCCATCACGGGGCTGCTCAGATATGGGGATGTTTGTCCTGCAGCACAGAGCAGCCCATCCTGGCTGAACAAATACTGTCCTGTCCTCAAGAGGCACGGACGGGGGTGAGATGCAAGACCAAGAGCTGTGAGGTTAAAGAAAATCATAGGTGAGGGCAGAAATGTGCAGTGTGCCCTCCACATGGAGGAGTAGACAGGCAGAAGAGGAGTCAGCAGGGAGAGGCGACAGTAAGGCGGGGACAAGTCCAGGTGGAAGGGATGCGGGTGTCCTAGGCTGGAAGCAGGTTGGGAACTGGCCAGGATCTTGGGGGCCACAGTGCAGGGTTTTCCACGGGAGCATTTTCAATAGAAGAGGCACCTCTTAAAAGCTTTTACTGGCTGATGGGCAGAGAGCTGGCAGGAGGGGAGCCTTAGGAGAAGACAGCACCCTCCAGTGTCCAGAAGGAGACAGAATGGGTTGCAGCCTCCCGCACAGGCACTCAGCAAGTGGAGGCCAACCAGCATGTCTCAGGGTCCTACCCTGCCCA